TTTTATTTTTTATTAAAAATATAAATCCTCAATAAATTTAATTTATGAGGTGGCACCGAACACGTCATCAAAATAAATTCCAAATCAGCATTTTTTAATGTTATTTTTGCCATGTCATAAAAAAAAACATAAAAAATGCCACATGGCGGACTTAACGGCTCAAATTGACAGAAGGACTAACGGAGTGCATTTCGTATAGTTGAGGGATCAAAAAAGTGCAAAAAATTGTTGAAGGATCAAAAATGTGCATTTCTTAAAGTTAAGGGACCAAATTTAGCATTTAACCTTTTTTTTTTTTTTGCGCCAGCAATGGAGGTTCAAAACATTTAAAACTTTTAATAACATCCTTATGTTTTTTTTTTTTCAATAAATAAGAGGAAAATAAAAAACAATATTATATGCATAATAAGTTTCGTAATTTGTCTCTTACATTATTTTTAATAAAAACTATTTATTATCACTAAAAAGTGACAACCAAGTTTCTTGGTAAGAAATTAGTGGATGGTGGACAAGTTTTTGATGTACACCTATAGACAATGGCTAGGTTTACAATGTGTGCTTGCAAAACAATTAGATGTTAGTGCTTAGCCAAAGGCCAAAGTAATTGGAAGATTCATGGAGATGAACTTAGTGTGTGGTGTGTGTTTGGAATTGGATAGCTTCATGAACTCTTATTGTTGAAATCATGATCTGCTTTAATACTTGAAAAACTTGAGAATGTTTCATTGGGATAGATACTTCGACACTTAAGTTAGCAATACTCTATAATCTAGAGAGAGAAACTCTTAAGAAGAGTTATTGTAGAGAGAGATACGATAGTAAAGTTATTACCTTGTGTGGAGGTAGTTGGAGGTATTTATAGACCCCTTGAAATTGTTTTACATATGTTGTATTTTTATTGGTCCATTTGGATCCATTTGAGTGTATATGAGTTTCATAGTGACTTATGCATGTGCTCCTTTGTATTTGGATCTCATGAGCCTTTATTACGTTTATGGGTTAGTTAGATTATTATCCCAACAATGTGTTAAGTGAGGAAAGCTAGAGGAAGAAGATGAAGATAAGTAAGAGAGGAAAGGAAAGTGTAAGCATCTGAGATAATGAGTGATTATTCAATAAGCATTACCTATTCCTTTATGTCAATGGTACTTCTAGGTCAATTAGCTATCTAAGAATTGCCTACCTCCGATCTAAGCTTCATTAATGGTATTTTAATAAATATATAATTAAAATTGAATTTTTATTGTGTTGTTTGATGTGAAAAAAAACTTTTTTAAAACACTTTTTTCTAAGTAATTGGCACAATTTAAATTCTTACAAAATCATTAATTAACCAAATTAACACAATTTAAGTTCTTACAAAATCATTAATTAACCAAAAACAAAACAAGCAAATTATGGAGAGGGTCTTACTAATTAACCAGAAAATTGAGGACATGAATAGACTTCTGATAAATTATTGAGGATACAACCACAATATCCACTTTGCCCTTTGAAAGTTAAACTTCATTCCATCGAAATGAAACGCCGCCACTGAATTACAAGTCTCTGCTGAAGAAGATGCAGAGCCCTATTTCATCCATCGGAGAAGAGACTTCCTGAGTTCGGAAATTGGAAATGTCTGACTAATCCAAGGGCTTCATAGATCTATTACAGCAACTAAGCGTCTGCGATTCCTTCTCCGATGAGGAATTCGAAGAAGATTTCAGGAGCTGCGATCTTACGGCGACGTTCACCTCATCTGCGTGATCGAAGACGATCAGTCCGGCAAGATCCTCGCGACCGGGAGCGTGTTCGTCGAGAAGATTCTTGAGGAATTGCGGCAAAGTCGGACACATCGAAGACGTCGTGGTTGATGCCGGTGCGCGAGGGAAGCAACTAGGGAAGAAAATCGTCGAGTTCCTCACCGATAATGCTCGTGTGATGGGATGTTATAAGGTGATTCTCGATTGCAATGAGAATAACAGTGTTCTACGAGAATTGCGGGTTTAAACAGAGAGATTCAGATGGTCAAATATTTTATTTGATCAAATATTTCTTCGAAATGGAATGGAGATTGATTGTTTACAGAAAGCAGAATCTCTGTCTTTCTGTTTAGGCAAATTGATTGGCTTCTTGTTGAGGAATATCGTATTGAATCTTCCTTCGATTCTTTAAGTTTCGCAGGAAACAAACAGAAAACATAGATGAAGAGTTTAATATCGTATTTAATTTTCCTTTTTTTTTTTCCTGAAAATATGGCAATAAAATGCCCCTGCCTATTCCGGTTAAATGACATTCGATCAACTTGAAGGTGCAGTCTCCTCGATTGTTCGAAATTCGAATCTCACCTTTATTATTTTGTTAAAAAAAAATTATAGCAATAAAATGAAAACAGAGTAAACCTTTTTTTTTTACTAAAAAGCTTTCCACGTAATATTTCTGCAAAGAACAAAAAACTTAATGTCAAAAAATTCCCAAAACTTTGTTAAATGCTCATTATCATCTCTATATCTTTTAAAAACATCATTAAAAATTTTAAACTCAACCAGCACTTAGAGGACAACTGACCTCCCTGCAAGGTAGGACGTGCTTAGAACTAGTTGAATTTGGGTTCAATCCCAAGTCCCCCCCTTCCCCATCCCCATCCCCCGAAGAAAAATTCCCTTTGTTCAAAAAAAAAAATTAACTCTAAAAAGTAGGTTAATAGTAAATAAAATTTAATGAGATTTATTTAATCATAAATTTCAATTAATTTAAATTGAGATTATATGTTTATAACAATAATTTTATTATCAAATTAAATTTAAAAAGAAAAAGAAAAAGTTAAGCCAAAAAAGCTAAATAATTCTAATGAACTTAGAGCATGTACAATGCATGCCTTTTTTTTATGTTTTATTTTTTTTTAAAAAAAAAGGGAATAGAGTAGGTGATCTGGATATGTTGGAGCTAAGAGAAAAAGAGAACCAAGTTCTCTGCACTAAACAAAACTGTTTTAATTTTTTTTCTCTCCAAAAAAAAGGAAATTTTTTTAAAAGTGCTTGATATT